GTTGCCATGACGAACGACGCTAGACGCAAATCATTCAAAAATTCCCAACGGTCAAATATATAAAACCGCGTATTATAGAAATTCAATTTATCGCCAATATACCAAAACTTAACACGATCACAGGACCAAAGTACGTAGAATACAGAGTATATTTTAAATAAATCCAATAAGAAGCCAAGACAATGACCAAAAAAATCCCAATTGGTTGTGGCAGACACTGTAACACGACAGACTTACACGATAGACTTACACGATAGTACAGTAGTTCCAAATAATTACATAAAATCACAATTAAACAACACGAGATATATATCCACTGAGTCACAGGAACTTTATATTTATTTGACCCAAAAATGGTATAATATCGATGAGATATGAGGTATATTTTTAAATAAATTTAGCAGACACGCTACCTCACGAACGTGTCGGCTTGAGACTTTGACCCTTTTAAGCTCTGTTGCAGCCCCAGTAGTAAAACAATATTTTCATATGAACTGGGTCATTTGATTCATTAAAAAAATGCTTCTCAACCCTGTTGAAAAGCTGCATCTACCAGCTTTCTCATGTTCTCCCACATTCTTGACATTCCATCTTTTAAATATTTCCACAGAATGTTCTTAATGTAGCCTACACTTCATTGTATGGGGAACAGGCGGCCTTCATTAAAATATTGCCTGCAGTAGTTGTATTTCCTTAAAAATGCCCTGAAACGTTTATTAATATTCTAAAAGAATCGGGAAAAGAATTATCTTGGGTAGCTGTTCAAATTTGAAATTGGCAGATTTTGGCTATAATTAATTTAAATTAATAGCATATCTGTATATAAAATTTCAGCCATTATTGCGTGTATGAAAAGTAACGGCAATGGTGGTAAGTATTAGACATCAGTTGCAGTCCCTTACGCACGTGTTACCCCAAATGAAAATGAAAACGACGGCGCGCAAGTTTGCCGGACAATGCGCTCCAATATCCACCACTTTTAATTATCTGTACCTATAGGCTGTAGGAAAATATCAGCAATATATTAACTGATTTCAGTTCACTGGCCTGTAGCTTTATTCAACTTGCACAGACGCATTTAATTATAAAATAGAAAATAAAATATAGAAAATGAATAAAAGATGGCGGACATGCAAAATTGTAAGCTTGCAATTGTGCTACTAATTGGTGCCGTTACCTCTACGAAAATTTCACAGATAATTTGACATGTGAAAATGCTTTTACATATGTAAAGTGTTCCAATTCCACATACGAAATAAAAATTTCACAGGTGAAATGAATTTTCACATGTAAACCTTTTATCTCACATGTGAAAATATTCTGATACTCAAATTTCACATATGAAATGAGCATTTTCACATGTACATGTGAAATGTTCCAATTCCGCATAAAATTTTACAACGGGAAATAATATGTGAATCATGTCATACGAAAACGTGGTTGAAATGCAAGCTATGTTCACGCTGCAAGCCAAAGTTTGACCATAAATACTGTATGTCATGTCCCGGCAATCTGTGGTCGGCTTTGCTCTCATTTGTCAAGTTGCGTCATTTCTTGATAAAACTACCTGAGCAAGGTCAGACCTAGGCTAGTACTGTAAACACGGTTATAATAACCTTACCTTCTTTTGTTTTTGTTTTTGTTTTTGTTTGTTTCAAAGCGGGAGAAACTAAAAAGAAAAGTATATAGAAATCGGAGTCAGTGAAAAGGCTTGCAACATAAAGCTGATGCATGTGTTTATGTTGGTCACAATTTACCATTTGCATTATAGACTAAATTTTGATCTGGACAAAAATTTCATCACAGCTTGAAAGAGCATCACAAAATTAGTAATATTCCAAAGTTTCGTTGCAAAATGTTGTAAAATGTGGATAATATAACCTTGCGAAGTTTGCAATTTTCAGTCATTTTAGATTACAAACGGGAAATTGACAGCCCGATACGCTTTGAGGCTGTCAATTTCCCGTTTGTAATCTAAAATGACTGAAAATTACAAACTTCGCAAGGCTATATTATCCGCATTTTACAACATTTCGCAACGAAACTTTGGAATATTACTAATTTTGTGATGGTCTTTCAAGCTGTGATGAAATTTTTGTCTAGACTTGTTTAGATCAAAATTTTGTCTATTACGCAAATGGTCAATTAATTCACATAATTGGCATATTTATATTTTGTCAGTAACTCAAAACTAACTTTTTGCAGTTTACCCAATAGCATATTGGAACGGAATGAAATGTTTTGGTGGCCAACTATCCCACTCCCTATGCTGTAGTGCTTAGAAGTAAGGTTTAGAGATTAATTCTGCATGCCATTTCAAAGATGCAAATGATTCGCGCTAGCTTTTATTGGAACAAGACGCTCCGTTGAGGGTCACTCTCCTCTGCAGAGACTTTTATATTAGTCCTGGGGTTTTGAGCATTTTATTTAAGCATTCAAGTAAGAACTTGAAGTTTGCGTAGAAAATAAGGGAGCGCATGAACAATGTTGTGCGGACCACATTGTTCACACTTGTCAACAATATTGAACAATATTTTTGAGCCTGAATCGGGTGTAACAATACTGTTCAATATTGTTGACAACTGTGAACAATGTGGGCCGCACAACATTGTTCAATCCTGTTTTCATCAATCTTGCAACCGGGAACAGCGGAACAGCATCATTCCGGAACACAAAACACCGGAACACCAAAAATAGGAGGGGTGAAATTATTGCTTGAAAATTATTGCGTAAAACATGCTTTTTAATATTCTAACTTGCTGATTGCTACTAATTACGAACTGAAACATATCAGTCTGAAAGTAATAAATATTTTCCCAAAAAGAACAAATCAAACCTAGAATTGTTATTTGTGTTGACAATAAAAATGGCTATCTTTGTTTGTTGTTGAAAACATATGGCCTTTGGACGACTTTCGGTTAGCCTGCGTAGCGGATTAATAGTGTAACAACCGTTGATGGCTTCCTTGTTTTTACAAACTTACTTTAAAGTTGAACGTTGGGGGGACGTCGCCAAAATAATTTCCCGAAAAAATTTTTTCGGTACTAGTCGCGCACAATCCGGAAAACTCGGGCAAATTTCTTTCCGCCCCCCTAAATTTTTCCTTCCGGTACGCCCATGATTGCGAAATATTATGAGTGAAGTATTATTGAGTATTATTTTGGCATAAACAATTATCATAAAGGTACTGTAATACATGAATGATAAAATACAGTTTTCTGCATGAACTGTGTAACGAAACGAGAATAGCCAAATCCGGCAACGGCGCTATAATACATTAGATTGATAATACGAATATCAACCTCGTAAGACGCTGGTCACGTGGTCTGCTAAAATCTAGCAGATTTTTAATTAGCAATCTTAGATGAGGTCAATAAATATTTGATATTTGGATATTTTTTTAAATTTAATTTATAATTTGTTTTTTCTATGATTGTCGTAAAGGTTTGTATAAATAGTATAATATCTTAAATTCATACGAATGTGTGTATTACGTATTTATAAAATAGCCTTTTAAAAACACGGGCGCTGATTGGTCAAAAGCTTCTATAACTCGATAGAAACACGGGGAATTTTCACGCGGGTTGCGTGGATTGCGCGGGAGTTTAAAAGACAAAATACAAACAATATTTAATTTTGAAAAAAGTTGAAAAACGTCCCGAAACGCCGAAGAACCGTTACAAAAAAAGGCAACACTTTGCTAACTTAGAAAGCGAAGACCTAAAGCACATTGTACAAAGTATAATTATAGCACACATTGTATTTGTTTGACTGTTTACCAAGGTAAGATATTTTATTTTACTTTGTCTTTTTAAAAAATATTTCCTCGCGACGTTTTTTATCATACTTTACTATAGTTTTGACTAACTATTTAAAACAGTGCTTTCTTTGCATGCAAGCATGTACGTTGTTGAGTGAATTATATACTTTGTAAAGTGCTGTCTGTTGTTTTGACAGCGATATATTTGTTTACTTCGCCATGCTTTTATAATTACTCTTTACCCGAACGTAGTTAAGGTAATTCCGCAGTAATTGTTCCCGAAATGAGAATGTGCTGAAACTTCCCAGGCATGGAGTTTATAATAGTTAATAATAGTTCGGGGTCACCGAACTCGTTAAGAAGATATGACAATCACAATATACCACCTTTACCCCAATAATTACGAGAACCACTCAGTATTTTAAGAAAATACAAAATAACAGTAACTCTGATATATTGCGCCAATATTGCGATATTCCGATATATTGCGATATATTCCGATATATATTCCGATATTATTGCAATATTCCGATATATTGCGCCAATATTCCGATATATTGCGCCAATATTGCGCCATCTTCAAGCTCATTACGAGTAACAGTAAAATCACAACAGCCCGATATTTATTGACGTTTTTAGCGCGGATTTTGTTTTAGTAAACCTATCTTGCAATTATTTTTGAAAAAATATTGTGTTTTGAGCAAAATAAAACTACTAACGTGTACAATTCTGATTCACAAATGTCTTTTCCACATTTCTTTACATACTCTTTCTTTGAGAACATGCATTGATAAAGGATTTTTTTCAAGATCCAGAAATGATTTTTCTTTTAATTTCGGATATGAAATGTAAAATGCATTAAAGAAATAAATTATCAGTTAAAAAACGGGTGTCACCGATCTTTTTAGGGAATTGTGGCATTAAAACGTGAAATACAAGTAAATAAATATACTACAGACACAGGGAACCCTAGCTACACTTTTGTATGCCTTTTTTGAAAACATTAATTTTAACGTAATTCTTTGCACGAATGTAACCAAAGATGTTTTGAAGTAACATAAAATTGTCATGAAATGATTTTTTTTTAAACGGTACGTATAATGGATGAAATTATAAGTTATAAGATGTGCGCAGTAAAAGTGCGCAATGCAAAACTGCGGAATTACCTTAAGGTGGAATTAATATTTGAATGAAAGCAATTAAAATCAATAAATTTATCTTTTCTATTGTTTTTAAAAGGCTATTTAATAAAGGAAATAGAAAACATTTTTCCGTGTTTCTATAGAGTTTATAGAAACACTTGTGAAAGTTTGGGAGAAACTCGAAATTGCGTGGAAACACTCGCACTTTGTGTTCCCACGCAATTTATCGTTTCTCCCAAATTTTCACGCGTGTTTCTATAACTCTATAGAAACACGGAAAATGTTTTCTATTTCTTAAATATAACATCGATAAATTTAGGGTTTAAAATACAGTGATTGTTAATAAAATCGGTTGCTCTTGTAATTATAATCGGCGTAAAATACAATGGGTCAATATCTATACATTAGTACATTTCCTAAATCATTCAGCTTTACATTCTCGAGGACATTGTTGCTTGCTTTTGCTTGATATCCAATGGCCCCGTTGTGAACTGGCTCCATTAATTCTGGTCGTTCTTTCTCAATATTCCCAGCTTTTTCTTCTACCTGGTGTTTGAGGGAGAGGATTTCCTCGTCGCTTCCATTGGAAATGATATTCTTGGCAAAATCCAGCGAGCTGTTCGTTTTTGCCAAGTAAGCTTTCACGTCGGCTTGTTGTTTCACCAGGGGCTCGTTAACTTCCTTGTATTTCATGTCAACCTGGTCAAGCAAGACCGTCGCTTCCTCCTCGAGTTTCTTGGTAAATGCATTCAGGATTTCCTGTTGTTGCTGCATGATGGCGTCTTTGGCTTTCGCTTTGTTATTCTTCAGGGTTACCATGGCGTGTTCTATCTTCAGATTGCTTTGAACAGCTTCGTTCCTTTGCTGCTCGAAGATGGCGGACGAAGTCTTCAACGCTTCCTTGTGCTGTACAACAACGTCTGCCAAAGGGAACCACGTATGTTCAGGGCGTAAGTGATTCACATCAGCGCAGTATCGACAAACAAGGACTTTGCATGTTTCGCAATAAAACTTGAGAACTTTATCGTGTTTCTCACAACCAGGTTTGCCTGTTGCTTTCGCTCGGTTTTCTGGCTTTGCCAATTCTTCCAACGTTAACACAACATGGTCTTCAAAGGCAGGCCAGTTGTTGTGGGCTTCTAGACATTTTGCACACAGGTAATTCTCACACGTTACACATCTGCTGGTGCCAGGCTTTACATGACTGGCATTTAATACGTTGAGCTTGTTGCTGAAGGGTGAGTAATTCCAGCATGTTGTTGATAAAGTGGTTTGACGGAATTTTCTCGACGTTTTCATCTTCTTTGACGTGAAACTCGGTTCTGCATAATGGACATTCAAAGACCTCTGGTACTTTGGCTTTCGTTTTGACTGCTTTCTTGCGGTGAGTCGCAACAAAAGTCTCTAAACAGTGTTTACAATACGAATGGAAGCATGACAATGTTCGTGGTTGTGTTAGTGTTTCATTGCAAATGGAGCACTCTAACAGCATCTCCCATTGCTTCACAGGAGCAGGATCTGACGCAGTAGCCATACTGCTTTGCGTTTAGGTATTGAATCACTTTCGCTTCTACAGGGTGTCTCAAAAAAACCCAAAATCATTGAAATTGACGTATTGTTCGATATTCAATGCCCTAGCACTAAGTTAATCCCACGAGTGCATAAAAGATTGACATAACTGCTATAATGAATGGTAATACTC